ACCAAATAAATGACCAAATGTCTCACATGGGTGTAGGACCCACAAAATTGCGGACCCCACACCCATGTGAGACATTTGGTCATTTGTTTGGTAGAAAATTTGGTATCCCTAGTTTTTTTTTTTTTTTTTTTTACTTTTTTAATGCATTAGTACTATTAGTGGTGATATTTTTAGTGGATGAATCATTGCTGATATATATATATATATATCAAAGTCTAACAGCAATGTTGCAATGTTGCATATTCATAGTTGAGAGAGAGAGAGAGAGCAGAGAAGAGAGATTTGTTTGGGTGATGAATGAAGTTTGAACAGATACAGATCAATGACTCAAACTGTGTTGCTCTCCACTTACTCAGATTTCACTGATGCAGCTGGAATTGCTGGTACCCTTTTCATCTCTCTCTCTCTGTCTCTCTCTCTAGACTGCTTCCAAGATTTGCTTGGAATCTGATTTGACTCTGAATTAAAAAAAAAAAATCTATAAATAGTTATGTTTGATCTTCTGAATTCGAAAAATTTCCTCTTGTTCCCTTAATTTCTTTCTATTTTTGGTTTCTTCCTTTACCTGTTTGACTTTTCTTTTTATGCAAATTATGAATAACAATAAATCTCTCTTCATGCCTTGCTATAATTTTGGAGAAAGAGTGGTTTAACTCTCACAAAAAAATGAGTTTTTTTTTTTTTATTTTTTTTTAAAATTTTTATTTTAGCAATTGATTAGCTTTTGTGTCTCTCTGTAATGTGTTCCTCATATATTTAGCTATCTATGCTGAAAGAGATCTTACCCTTTTCCTTTGGTTGCTAACAAACAAATGCAGGGGTTTAGAAAAAAAAAGTTTGATACATCTTACTCTTCTTTTAAAATTTTGTTTAGCATTTCTTGAATCTACAATTGAAATTTAGTTGCTTGCTTGCTGCTTCTACTCAGAGAACCATTCATTAATTTTTTTTTTTTCATCTAATTTGCTTCTAAATTTGAGTTAAAAACTTAATTTGATATGAAGTATTCCAATCCTTTCATTAATTTTTTATTAAAATGTTTTTAGAAGTTCCACTCTTATCCCAAATTTCTTTTTTCTTCAAATTTGATGAAAAAAATCACCTCCAATGCTTCATTTTTAAAATTTTCATCAACTTCTAATTTGATGAAAAATATATATATATATATATATATATATCTCTTAATTTGATGAACATTTGATGAATGGATTGGAGATGAATTTTGAGCATTTTTTTTTTTTATCAAATTTAAATTTGATGATAAAAAAAATAAAGGATTGAAGATGCTATTCGCATCAAATATATACTTCTCTCTCTCTCTCTCTCTCTCTCTCTCTCTCTTAAAAAAAAATTCATTTTCAATTTTGTGTTGAAAGGTATAATACTATGACAATTCAATTCGAAATTTGTAAACCTGCAAGATCTCTGTGTTTAGTCAATTCATTCATCCATGAATCAAGCTCATCATCCATGAACTTCCATAAAAAGTTGTGTATATTTTCTATCATGAAGCATTGATTCTAACCTCATGGGGCGAATACACTATGGCCTACAATACGGCTAATAGTTTTCAAACAAATTCTTAGTAGAAGGGTATTATATTTAAAATTAAAAAAAAAAAATTAGAACGAATCTTTGAAAATATTATTAACTAATACTCCTATATTGTAATGGGATATTAGAAACTTTGGAGGTAGCAGTGGCACCCAAATGCCATCCCTTGTTTCGGTGCCCAAAGTCTATTGAAACCCTGAGCTAAATATTGAAATGAGATCTTATATTATTGGGTTTTTGAAAAATTGAGACTTTTAGCAATAAGACTTTTTTTTTAAATATATATATTTTTTTTTGGAAAGATTTAGACTACAGATTAATTAAGTGGCCTTAATGGTTTTAGCCACCACCACTGAATGTGTTTTGTAGATTCATACTACTAGTGGGCATTTGGGTGCTTTTTTTTTTTTTTTTTCCCAGTTGGTTTTTGGTTTTTTTAGTGGCCGATCTAGTTAAGGAGTTTCGTTTGGGAAGTTGCTACAAAAAAATATTTTTTGAGTGAAAAAGTTGATGTGATATTTAATTTTTTTAACTGATGACAAATAATTTTTTGGCTTTTCAGCCAAAAGCTGGCTTTTTTATCCAAAAGGTGGTTTTTTTCTTGTGTTCCCAAACACCTCGAAACCATGTTAAACACAATGGTAACCATGTATGGACATCCCAAGACACCCTCAAAGATTGATGAGATTTTTCAAGATAATTGAAATTTTTGATTTTTGTCGATTGCAGGGAACCTCTTTGCTATTGTGCTATTTGTGTCGCCCATGTAAGTTGCCCAAAAATTATCTTAGACTAGGAAAAAGATGATGATTCAAATTGATACATGTATACAACTGCTTTGTGTCTTGTTCCAGACCCACATTCAGGAGAATTATCAGAAACAAGTCAACAGAACAGTTCTCAGGACTGCCATATATATATGGACTCTTGAATTGCTTGATATGCCTATGGTATGGCATGCCCATTGTATCTCCGGGTATTTTACCTGTTGCCACAGTCAACTCGATTGGGGCGGTTTTCCAATTAATGTACCTAACCATCTTCATTATACATGCAGAGAACGCGAAAAAGGTAATTAATCACTACTCCATTGTTCCAAACTCAACTGCATTTGATTCTACAGCAACGATCTTTTATTACTGAATGACGATGCTTTCAGGTGAAGATGTTGGGACTCTTGCTAGTGGTTGTTGCTGCATTTGGTATTATAGCATTCATGAGCCTCACTTTATTTGAGCCTCCTAATCGACAGATCTTCGTTGGATATTTGAGTGTCATTTCTCTTATATCCATGTTTGCTTCTCCGCTAGTTGTTATTGTGAGTTTGTTCATTTGAAACTTTGCCTCCTCGACTTGTCCTATATATATAGACTGATTAATTTGTCGAATTTGGATGACAGAATTTGGTGATCAAAACAAAGAGTGTTGAATTCATGCCGTTTTATCTCTCCCTTGCAACCTTTTTGATGAGTCTTTCTTTCTTTGCATATGGAATGTTCAAGTGCGATCCGTTCATTTATGTAAGTGATTATTCTTCAAACCTATACTTTCCTTTCGAAATCCCTATTAACTCCACTTTGTTGCCAATGACTTGAAACAAAAATTGATTTTTATTGTCATTGTCTACATCTACTTGGCCACAAAAGTGAAGAAGTGTTGTATTGCATTTTAATCTTGAATCCGCAGCCATTTAGGAATTAAAATGATCTTTTTTAATTTTCATATATAAGCCCTAAAATAAGGCATTGTGCCTTTGACAGCATTATAACGTAAATATATTTGTTTCTCTCAAGCAGTTGTACCAATTCAAGGGCACATTAAGATTGGTGATGTCTCTATCCATCATGGACATCGCTGGATTTAGTTTCTGATTTTTTCTATTCAATTTTATTTTATTTTATTTGTTGAGCAGCAAAGAAAAATGAAATTTTATTGATGCATTGAAAAGTATACAAAGAGTAACTTTCACATACAACAATAGAAGGCTAATTGAAAAACGTCAAAGCTGGAATGCATCAGCTTGACATTACTACAACCAAAATAAGAAAAGAAAAAATGCAGCAGAAAGACTGTTGGCAAATCTCTTTGGATTTAGTTTCTGTCTGGTTTTGGAAATACTTGTATGAGTAATGTTACGCTTCGTGAAAGAAATATCAAGAAAGAGTAATGTTAGGCATCATAAAAGAAATATCATGAAACGCTTTATGAAAATTCTTTACCTTTGGATTACACACACAATAAAATACCACACACTAATCAAAAGATGAAAAATCTTAATGAACATTTCATGATGCTAGCATTATTTTATTTTATTGCTTTCCCCCCTCTGCAAATCTCTTCACAAATCTAAGATCTCGTAGTCTACCAAATTGAGCACTGTAAGATACAGATAGAAACAATGAACCAATGCAACCTTGTCATTGTTTTTGTTTCACATGATGAGTTTCTGTTGGCTTGATTTCTTTGAAAATTAGGTCCCAAATGGAATCGGAACAGTTCTGGGAATCGTACAGTTGGTGTTGTACTACTATTACAGCAATGCATGTGGAAAAGCCTCAACAGAACCTTTGCTCGAGTCTTACGCGTGAACCATTCTATTCCAGTTTATACAGTGAGTTTGCTTGTAAATTGCCATTGCCATTGCAATTGTCTTCTTTTTTTTTCTTTTTTTTTTGGTGATTAAGTTGGGTTTTGAAATCCATATGATTTGATGGAAAGCAATGCTATAATCATCATTGCAGATACATTTGTACAATTTTTATAATCTTGATGCTCAGACTTGTGAATTATTGATGGCTTATGTGTGAGAAGTTAATCAAAGGCACAAATGGACTTGCTATGAGTGATTGTGCATCTGCAAGGCAGTGTATTCTCCTTTTTAACTGTCATTTGCCAATTTCCATACTAAAAGTTTCATAAACAATGGCGTGGTTAATTGGGTTGGGAAAGCAAGTTAATTACTAGGTTTTTGTCTGCAACCATTGATGCACGGTAGAGACCGATGCACGATTTTAATTTTGGCAAAATTTTTGGAATAAATGTGTGAAATACAATATCAGTTTCTGTCAAAATAGAAGAAGAAGAAAAAGAGAATTGATGTAGAGAAATAAGACAAGGAAGAGTATTTAAATAAATATAGAGGAGGAAGAAGAAATTGAAAATGGATTTCAACTCAGAGAGAACACAAAAAAATTAAAAATCTAAGAACTAAGAGACATAAGTCCGAGGGTGATTGAGAAGAGCCAAACTCTCAAAATAGTGTTTAATTGAAATGTGAACACAAATCCAAACAATTTTACTAAATGAGTCTGGTTCACAACTGTTTATTGAACGTTCTTTAAGAACCAACTAATACTATTTTTTTTTTTAATTTATTATTGTTTTTAAGGGTAAATTACACCTACACCCCTTGAGGTTTACACTTAATATAGATTCTCCCTCTCATGTTTTGAAAATTACATTAATCCCCCTGTCAAAGTTTTTCTATCATCAACACTAATAGAAAATTTAAAATGACTTTTTTTGTCTTTCTCCAACCTATCCTTGTCTTCTCTAAGGCATTTTTATCAAATATGAAAGAGGTATCCCATAGCCACTGTCAATTACTCCACCTTCACCTCCACCTCCACCATCACCTAAGGGTAGGAATTCTTGACACAACATGATAATAAGACTCAAACCGTACACAAAATTAGTGGGTTAGGGTTAAGCATTTTTCAACACGAACACGTATATGACACAACCCGTGAACCTATATAATAAATAGGTCGTGTTCGTTTAAATCCGTGAAACTCAAAAATGACACATCTAACCCGTTTATTTCAGCATGTCACAAACACGACATGCGACTTGAAAATGACTTGTTTACAACCTATTTAACTTTATATATATATATATAAGTGTTTGTATGTATAGATAGATATTTATATTAATTAATTGAGTGATATCCTTTTTTGTTCTCTTGATATATTAATTAATTGAGAGTGATATCCTTTTTTGTTCTCTTGATTTTTTTTTTCATTTTTTTTTCTTCCAATCAAGATTTTTCTTTTCTTTTCTTCCAAACAAGATTTTCCATGTTTGCTTCTCTCTCTCTCAAATAGGTTTTTTATTGGATCAATCGCATCGTGTCGTGTCATGGTAAATAAATAGGTTTAGAAATTAATTGTGTCAATCGTGTCACCCATGGGTTGACACGATTATTAACAAGTCGTGTTAGTGTTTACATATATAACACATTTATTAAACATGTAGAGATTGAGTTTGTGTTTATGCTTTTGATACGCAAACCAGATATGACACGACGCGAACACGCTTGCCCACCCCTAACCCTTGCCCACAACAACCATCAGCCACCCTACCTCCAACTACCACCACCACCTCTCACCCTCCACTAAAAAAAAAATAAAAATAAAAATTTATGTTGCATGTAAATGGCATACATAAAGGGCGTAAATAGTGTTCTAACGCCCCGATATTTCATCATCAATTCACAACGTTAATCTAAGAACATTATAACTAATGGTATCAAGTTAAAGCATTAAATATTTGTTACATGGCTCAAAAATCATCTCTTCTCCCTTGAACTATTTGTGTGTTTACTGTTGGAGAAAAATGGTTGAATAAGAAATTGCCTCATAAATGTGTATATAACTCACACATTTAAGGCTCATCAGTTTTACAAAATTAATTGGGCAATTTTGCTAACATTAGTTGCCAGCCTTGATGGCTAGAGGCTCCTCCCCTCTCCCCCATGATGTATAAAAGAAGGCCCTATTCCTTGAAAAGAGATATAGAATTTTTCCTTGACATCCATACACTGTCAGTCTACTTCTCCTATAATTTTCTTCGTGAGAGAGAGTGTTGTCGTTGTCCGTTTGCTAAGCTAATCAGAAGGTGCTTCTGTTGTAGCTGGTAAAAACCGTCGTATCTTGGGAAGTACACGCCGGTGTACCTCCAGCACCCAACGGTGAGGCGATGAATCTATTTTAAAGAGACTGTGGTATCACACAGGCTTCGGTTTGCTTCCTTTAACCATTTTATATTTTATCTGTATTTTATTCAGCATGTTATTTTTCCTGGGATTGAAGGTTTGTTTTGTTTATCTCATAATTTTGCGATATGCAATGTGAAATTATGTAATGTGAGTAGTTTTTCCCAACAAGCTTAAAATAGATTCGCCGTTTATCATAGAATTAGATTAATAGATTCATAGGTGTGTGTAATAATTTTGCATGTAATTGGCCACTGGTAGTACTAGCGAGTTAATTGGTTTATTAGACGCATGTACACAAGGTTAAGCTTTTGATTTTGCCATTTTGTGTATGCTACTGTTTGGTCTTCCCATGGCATGGAATAGGCCACTGTTATCAATAGGGAAGAAGAGTTCCATTGGTGCAACGTTAATTCACTGTATTTTCTAATTAATTTATTAATTTATGGTATATCGGTTCATGCCTTGTATTTCTAGATTTACATGCTTCTAGTTCACATGCTTCTAGTTCACAATATAAATTACATGTTCATTTGGGTTTAATTTTTAGTGTAATTTACATTTCTAGCTTGTTTATTAGGTAGTAAATTTCCATGTAACTTGTACCTATTAATCTTTAATTTAGGTGTGGAGTTGTAAAGTTTATAACTTGCCTATATTTAAATTCATGTTAATTTCTCTAGAATTATTTGCATGTTAATCATATCATTTGCAATTCTTGCCTAGTAATGTGAATTAAGTATTTAGGAGTTATAAAATGTTTGTAACTTGCCTCAATTAATTACATGTTTAGTGTACCATAAGTTCATATGTAACCTTTACCAATTTAAAATACGATTTAATTATATTTAATTTAGGTCTGTAACTTATATAGTTAATTACATGTTTATTATGTAATTAATTTTTTACAGTTTTTTTTTAGTTTAAATTCTAGATGCGTAACTTAAGGGTTGGTTTTAATCTTTACTTACAGTTATTTATTAGTTTGTTTGCTAGTACCCTCCCCTTCAATCACTACTTTGTCAAAAGCAAAGAAAAGCTGAGGGAGGTTTTGTTGTATTTTGCTGCTAACTCTTTATTGCAGGAATACCTATGGAAATGGAAAAAAGGATTAATTTGGACTAAATATTTGAAGCAATTGTTTGCTTGAGTGTTCATTTGTGGTTATTTACCAATATGTAAAGCATGTTTTATTTGCTTGTAATTATTGTAGCAATTTTGTTGTAATTGCTTGTACAGTTTGGAACTTGGTGTGTTTAACCTAGTTCATCCCTTGGAAAATTTAATTCTTAAAGTTGTTTCCCATGGACTAGGAGTCAACATGCTCTTGAAAGTTTTGTCTAAGGTTAACTGGGTTTTAAGTGGGACCGATGTGACCCCTCCAGTCTTCCTGAAAACTTTCCTGACCATGTTCGATTCTAGGTTACGTGGCGCGGCTAGTTTTGAATTAAATTTCCAATTATGGGATTTTCTAGTGTTAAGTTTGATTTCTGCAAACACAAAATAGTGAAAATTCTGCTGTAATTTTTCAGAAATGGCAACTGTCTCTGATGTTGCTACTACTGCTGCTAATGTTAGTGGGGATCCGAACCCCGGGGTGACTGGCTTGCCAAACCTTACTGTGACCTCTATGGTCAATCCTCCTGTTGTTACTCCGGCTGTTTCGGGAGGACCTCTCAATCATCACGAGCGCCCGGAGAAATTTACGGGAGTGAATTTCAAGAGATGACAGCAGAAGATGCTGTTTTATTTGACTACTCTAAGCCTTGCGAGGTTTCTGAGTGAAGATGTACCAGCCGTAAAGGAGAATGAGCAAGATAAACAAAAGCTCATGGCTCTGAACGCTTGGAAACAAGTAGACTTCTTATGCCGGAATTACATTCTGAACGGCTTGGCAGATCCGCTTTTCAACGTGTTCTATGCCAAGAAATCAGCTAAGGAGTTGTGGGATGCCTTGGACAAAAAGTACAAGACCGAGGACGCTGGGGTAAAGAAATTTATCGTCGGCCGGTTCCTGGACTTCAAGATGGTGGACTCTAAAACTGTCCTGAGTCAAGTCCAAGAGTTCCAAGTGATTCTGCACGAGATACATGCAGAAGGGATGGTCCTAAGTGAGTCATTCCAGGCAGCTGCTTTGATTAAGAAGCTACCTAACGGCTAGAAAGACTTCAAGAACTGCTTGAAGCACAAACGAAAGGAGATGACAGTCGAAGAGCTTGTTGTCAGGCTCGGGATTAAAGAGGACAACAAGAAGAAAGAAGGGAGTTCCTCCACTGTCAAAGCCAACATGGTTGAGCATGGCGAGTCCTCGGGGGCGAGGAAAAAACCACCGATAGACAAAAGCTCAAAGTTGGGGGCTAGGGGAGGAATCTCCAAAAGGCCAGCCTACAAGCCAAAGGAGCCTACTTTTAGGTTTGATGGCAAATGCTTCAACTATGGAAGTGACGGGCATCGGGCAGTTGATTGTCTGAAAAAGAAGCCCTACAGGAAAAACCCTCCCCAACACAAAAACCGGGCACATATGGCTGAAATGGAGGAATTGTCACACGATGTGGACGACATGCATCTGTCAGCCGTCGTGTCAGAAGTGAACATGGTGGGGTCAAACCTGAGGGAGTGGTGGGTGGACATTGGGGCCACTCGCCATATTTGTGCAGAGAAGAGAATGTTCACAACTTTCGAACCGATTTCAAACGGGAAGAAGTTGTTTATGAGAAACTCTACAACCTCAGCTGTTGAGGGTAAAGGCAAGGTGATCCTGAAGATGACTTCAGGAAAAGAACTGACTTTGAACGATGTCCTTTTTGTGCCAGACATTCGTAAGAACCTTGTCTCGGGGTCTCTCCTAA